GCATGAGCAATACATTTTGTTGATTTCTCATTTATTATAATTTCATGAGAGCAAATATCTTCAGAGCTGGTTGGAGCGTAGCAGGTCATAGTAGAGTGGAGCAGGGATAGGGAGCACTGGGCGGAGCAGAGCGGGTTGCGTTTCATGCTAGTACCACCTTAAGTTACATACTGTAGCTTTAAATCGCTCTATATCCAACATGAACTGAATGTGTCCTCATGTTAATGACTTACTGCTGTGTACATTAAAAACACTGATACCTAATTAGACACAAAAGACCCAATTATACTCATTATACTCAGTGACCTTCAGACCAAGACAGGAGTTGTCACAATGATAACCTCAATATAGTATCAAACAGATTCACACAAATTCACTCCACATTTTTCATGGTTTCACAACTCATTTTCCAGCACGTTTTGGTTTCACTGTCTGTATTTGTTATTTACAGAAATCACCCATCAAGTCACTGTCCCCATTTCCTCTTTTATTTCCCTAGTATCACAACCGCCAGGTCAGTGATATTGTAAGTATGTACAGCCCCGCTGGATGCCACATGATCATATACTAAGACTGGAACTGCAAACTGTGACGACACACTGATCAGAAAAAAAGAAAAATCCATGCAATTAATCAAATATTTCCAGACAATCTAATATTTCTTTGACCAGTTCCTGAACATTTTCTAAGCCTTTATTGTATGAAATCATGTTTTGATTTTGTTAACAGAAACACCTTGAAAATACAGCTTTGCTCTCTGTGTGTGTAAATGAAGGTTTCAGCCTCAAGCCTTCCAGAGACAAACAGCAGCAGGTTCTTCTCTGCTGTGACCCACATGGCAGCAGAGCCACCCTGAAGCTTTTCACACAGCACAACGGAGGTTAAAGGTCACTGATGAGAGAGATGGGAGGATGCTGCGCCCCTCGGTCGGCCGCGAGGGTCAAATGCAGTCATGACCTCAGAGAGATGCTCTGCTTTCAGGCTCAACTTCTTTTCAGATCCGCCTGTGTGTACTCTGTTATTTTCCTTTCCTTACAGTTTCAGGTTACTCTCACCATTTTCATGGTGTCACGTCATGGACGCAGGAAGCAGAGAAGACACTATAAAAAGCCACTGTATTAGGGGCTGCACAACTTCAAACTGTTAAAGTCAACAGCTATGTTGTCAAAGTTAGGACGGCTACTTGCTGATGGTATCAACAAATGATAAACACTAGAGATGGGGCTAGAGGCTGCAGCAGCAAATCTGCTCTTCCACCAGCTCCCACTGGAATGCTCTCATGGCTAGTGACTTTTGGACAACTGGCCTGGTGACAGTGTCGTCAGCGAGGACAGACGGCACAGCTAATGGCTTCTCGATGCAACCACAATGGAATTCAAAGCAATATCATGAGATGAAAGTAACTAGTAGTGTGACAGCTTTACTGCCGCTGCTCTTTACATTTTGATACACAGCTGGAGTGTGGTGCAACACGACAACGTGTTGCACCAGCCATTTTGTCGTCATAGAAACGGCCATAAATATACCGTTACAGTTATGAGACGGTCATAGTTTCATTACTTGTAGGCTCACAAACTACATGGTTAGGTTTAGGAACAAACGCTAGTTAACAATTTAATATTGTACAATAGTTTAAGACTATTGAAACTTTGGACTTTGACCTGATTGATGACTCAAAATCTGTGATCTGAACCAAACCTTGAGATTTCTGATCTGTTGTACTAAATAAAGTGTCTATTAAACAACCTACTGAGTCAAAAATCTGACTTGGTTTACAAGCACGTGTTTGTTTGTTAGCAGTGTGACTGCACTTGAACTCCAAAATTAAACCAACTGTACCACAAAGTGCGGAGTCCCTGCACCATAGTTTCCTGCCCTTTAACAAAAACCATGAGCTAGAAACGGTGCTAATTAACCAGCGGATGCCAGTGCAGCCATAGGCTGGGCTGCCCAGTGACATGCACACTAATAACCCAGAGAGCAAGCTGCCACTGAAAGCCCTGGAGAGGACAGAGGAGCTGCTGACATATCAACCCTGTTAGCGAGGGCTCGTTTCCCACCGCTGAGGCAACCGGACAAGCTGCTGCTAGCAGCACACAGACAAGGGCAGGGAGAGAGCTGCATAAACACAGGCTGGAGGCCCAGAACCCCGTAATCAAAACCAGACAGAGGGGGATGTCTTCATCCAGCTGTCCAAACCCCAAAAATGTTCACTGAAAAGGATATAAAACAATGGAAAGCTGGTATAACAATAAGAGTAAGTGAATTGGCACTATACAAATAAAACTGAACAGAATGAATCTTAGTAGTTCATCAATTTTATATGGAAAATCTTAGATCACTGTTATTTAATTGTTAATACCTTTTCTATTCATTGACTAAATGATTAATCGTTGCAGCTTTATGCTACACATTCAGTGACAGGGAAATGTCAAAAACCTCATGATGTACAGGAAGCAACAAAAGAAGTTATATTTACATATCCACAGAGCTCTTGAAGCTCAGAGGCCTGTAGGGTTTCACTGCTGTTCACGAGGAGAGCAAACTAAGGTGTCTGAATTGTGCGTGTCTGCTCTGTGCACTTTACTTCTGTGTTTGCTTGGTTTTATTAAAATCAGAAGAAACTAGCTTTCAATTCAAAGTTTTGAAGCAGCACAATCTGGGGATCAACATTCAGCCGTTTCAGCCACTTGCCCGCCTTAGCTGTTTTCTGCTCTGTATCCAGGAGCTCAGCGCCGCTCATGGTCCAACACGGATAGGAGACAATCAACATTATGGTTATATTTTTTATTTAACACTTAACCTGGAAGTCAAATCAGATAAAATAGCTTTTACAAGTGGGAGTAGCTTGGACTTAGTTAACTGAAAATTATTTTGTTTAAATTACATAGGTTCATTACAGGAAAATTTATAGGACAATAAATAACTAAACTAACTAAATAACTAACCAGGCATGGACACAGCTACTGGATAGAGACTTACCCAGCTTCTCATAGTCACCTGGGTTTTTTTTTTCATTATTATTATTATTAATACTACTAAAAACTACCCCTGGCATTCTTCCAGAGTTGACTGTGAAATATTCAGATTGCTTGTTTCACTTGTTGAGCCAGCAGTCAAATATAAAAAGAAACAAAAGAAGCAAATCTTCACATTTGAGAAAATGGAACCACATTTGGCCTTAATACATCAAAGTGCTTTTGATTTTTCTTTTCATAAACGTAACAATGAAATTATTTCAGCTCCAGTCACTACTGTTGTACTGTTATAGACGATTTTAAAAGTACCTGACTGTTCAGGTAATAGGCTTAAATTTCTCTCAGTGTGTCACTGCTCTTGAAAGCTCAAACACAGCCCAGTCTCACAACAGATACCCAAAAGTGCCACCCTGATGCCACTGTGTACAAACGATAAGGAGGTGTTAGGTAAAATTAGAAAGAAGGGCAGCAAATGAAACACTGTTCTCGTACACGGGTAGTTTTGGTTACACTCAGCGGGAGTTCGCTGTTTTGAATGTCAATGTGCTACCTTGGGTTACAGGAACAGCACTGGCTTTAGATAAGGCCAATGATTAATTCATTAGGAGTGTCCTCTCTCTCAGCTTACAAGATCCAGGCATTGTCTGCCCGGACAGACAACGATAAGGCAGCACTCTGTTCTCCAAAGCAGGTGGGACGAAGACCTCACACACCAGGGGTATGGGGTCACTGTGTCTCAGAGCTAAGTGCAGGCACTGGTAACCTCATTCAGGATTCAAGGGAAACTGATGCCACCTTTGCAACACTGTGCTTTCAAGTACAGGCTTTGGTGACAGTAACTTTATTACTCAAAAGAAAGTGGAGACAAATGAAGTCAGGGCTTTGTTGATGCTGGGTCAAAAAGTTCATTTGGAAACAGGCTCAATGTATCAGCAAGTCCAGAAAGAGGATTTAAATATGATGAATTTGATTACCGGGTTTTCTCTCAGCACCTGACAGTGCTGCTGGCTGTGTTGCCAGTACCGTGTCACAGTATAAAGTATCACAGGACCATCAGTGAGGTTTTTGGCCAGCCACAGTGACCTTCACCCTATATTTCAACCCTTCCTCAGCATTACCATGCATCCTGCAGTGTTCACTCGACTGTAAACAGAAATTTATATTTGTGTACAATAGGGTTAAAGTGTAGTCTCAATACCTAGACACACAAAATTTGGTGCAATGATTTTTTTTGATTTTTTTTTTTTTTAGCAGTGATTGAACAGTGTGGGCTTCTTGCCTTTACTTTCCATGCTAGTGAGAGCAAACACAACATTAAGGAAGTTAAAGACTTACTCACTGGTCACTCCTCTTCATAACATAAGAATCACATATGTTGATTTTCCCTTTATACCTTTCCCTCTCCTAATATCATTTAAACTAGCACAATACACATTTTACTCAATTTCTTCATTCCGTTTGTCACTTCCTGCCCTCCATCCCAGTTTCGTGTCATGTGTTTGCAAGCCACCTGTTTCATGGTTTAAAGGGAAAGGTTGTTTGGCTGGGTCATGTGACTGGGCACCAAGACCTGCTGACAAATGGACATGTCTTAAGTGGGCACATGGTCTTTCTCAATAAATGCTGTAACCCTCTTGAAGTGGTCTTCTTCGGACAGAGGTAAA